CTTCCCTTAGAAAACACTTTACCAGTTGGAGCAATTATGTGTGCGGTGACATTGCTGTTATTGTTTTTTTTTTTTTTTTCTCAGTGCAACTTTATGAAAAAGTTTGCCGCTTCTCTGGTTTTGCCTCAGGCTTTTGTTTCTATTTTTTCCCCCCTCCCCAGTGCACTATTGAAACAAGTGCAGGGTTGCTCTCTGAGTGAAAGTTAATGGCTCTTATTTTAAATGTAGCCTTTAACGCTCAAATCAACGGTGTAATCACACTTTGGGGAAATTGGCTATTGATCATTCTGCCTTGTCCGACATAGTGACCGGCACAACAGCGAACATGTGGAAAAACAACTTTCAATTCAAATGACAAATTCTTTTGATTAATTCAAATGTTTCCTCCCCAAAACGGCGCGAGTGCAAAGAGTCATACTTTATTGCCAGTGAAATATAATGCAATTGATTTGATGTCTCTCTGCTGTCACCAGCAGGCTTTGCGATTGATTAAGTCTCACTGACACACTGTGGTGGAATAAGTCGATTCGTCTGACCCTCTCACCAACTTTCTCACCAGAGGCCCTTAACACAAATGCGTCAGCTGACTGCCTCCTACGGTGCTGTGCTCTTACCACGATACCGTTAAAGCCCTTACACCTGCATGTAGATGTGCCATTGATCTCGGCTGTCGTGTAATCACGGAAATGAATATTGTAGCGCTTAAGCTCCTGCCTTTTGAATTCTGATGACTGTTTCTATAGAAGGATTACATGCATATTGTGAATTTTTCTGCCTGGCTTTGAGTGGAACTATTATCCTGTTTGTTTACTCAAACCTCAAGAGTCCCTTTGAGATCCCCTCAGTCCTATTGTTTGCCACCCCACGCTTTTGGTGCTTTATTATTTAATTTTTTTTGCAGTTCATATGTAGATCGCGCTGTCCTGAAGCATTTTAAAACCGCTGTACTGAAACCGTGACAGTGATTCACACTTTGCGTCTCAAAGAGAATTATTTCTTGGTGTGATATCTTTCGTTGCCATTGTTGTAATCGCAGAATTCTGTTTTTGTAAACCTGCCAAAAGAAGAAAAGGCAAGAAAAACCCCAAACGCCTCCACTTTGACCTTTAATAACTTCATATTTGTAACTTTGATGGGTGTTTAGCTCACTTCTCATTCCTTTTAGATTCCCATTCAGCTACTTGGTGCAATTCTGAACATGGGCTCAGTTTCCTATGATTGGAAGACTGAAAGTGTGATAAGCATTGAGTTTTGGACAGATAAAAGCTTCTTCTTTTTTTCCAAGGCTGTAGGCGTCCCTATAGAAAAGACCCCCTGATTGGTCTTTTGTCTCTCTCATTCTCTCAGAGCTCGGCCAGCGTTTTTGCTCCCGAATCACTCCTGCAATATATTCACTGAATAATACAAGAAGTGAGCGTTGGGTCATGTGCGAGACACTCATTTTGTTCTTTCCCTCATGTTCTGCACGGAGCACAGAGACGTTACAGACACAAAGTACGAAAAAAAAAGAAAAAAAGAGACACATTAGATAAATTGCCTTGCAATTTTTACTGGCTACTCCCTGTGCCATAAAATGATCTTTCTCTAGTCTACTCATTTGAACAAAATCATCGCTTTGAAAATAGACTTGTTTGATTTAACATTTCATATAAAGCATCCTATTAATTCAACCCCCATGAAATAGAAAAACAGGCAATGCCTGAAGGGGGAATACAGTGCTATCTGTTTTATGTCTGCCATATAGTTCTGAAGTTAAAAAATTTGTTGTTAATGTCTGTGCTACTAGAGGGTAAAATTATAGTCTGAAACTGGCTCCCTTTCAAGAAGAACGGAGTATTGATCAGCAACTTTGGCCACTTGAGATATGTGAGGCTTTAAAGAGTTTCTTAGATGGAATAACAGACCTTTAATGGCAGGACTGGGTACTCTCCTGCTTAATTCCCTCTAAAGTGTCACACAAGCGACAACCATAGTGTTTACATGAGTGTGAAATTGGCAGGTATCTCAGCCCAAACACAAAAACCAAACACAAAGTCCGAAGGTTGGTTTGTCAGTATAAAAGGAAGTAAACGGCAGTCGAAGAACTTAATAAACACTGCAGGATTAGGTGTTCGTCTATTGTATATTATAAAAAGCGAATATTCAAATTTGCTGTCAAGCAGGGAGCTGACATGAATTTAACCTTTACACCTTTACCACACGAAGTCCCTGCTGCAGTGCACTTTCACTTGTAGTATTCAAAATGTCAGCTCCATTAAGCTATCTGAACACTTCACTTTGGGCTTTGTTAACTGGGCAGTGAAATTACTTTGCATAATTCATAGTAAACTGTCATTTTGAAGCAGCCCTCAACAGAAAAACAAAGAGTGCACTGGTTATTTTTCACAGGAATAGAACAAAATGATCTAAGTTTAAGCTTACATGACAAGGACCTCTTTTGCAAAGGTCAGTGCACCGCGGTGCTGTAAGAAAAATCTCTCAAGGAGGGACACCGTGGTAGATGGCTTGGTCAACAAAAGATACTACAATAACCATGACCACACAGATCACAATTTATTTAAGAAAGCAGGGCACAGAAATGCACCAGTCTTGCTTTTCATTCACCTTAGATGGTGTTTCATCATGCCATATTGGATTTGTAGGTATATTAATTGTGGTGGAAACTGGCAGCTAATTAAATAGCATGCAGTCATTGCTGTGACAATCACCCCTTTCTCTTTCATTTAAATAGAAATGTGATATCGCACCGAAAAGTCTTCGTTCGTTCTTCTTCTGAATCTTTCGTTGATATTATGAAAGTAGAATTTTATGAATGTGGGCGTTCGTTTGTTTTTATCTTTTCAGTGAAAAATGTCTGATAAAAACTATGTTTTATTTCAGTGAAATCAAGAAGGATGTCACAACACATATATACTCATCTTCTCCCACTATACATTTCATCTAAAATGTCTTAACTGATTTAGAGATGTGCCTGTCGATTACACGACATCCCTATTTTTCAGAGCACTGGGATTAATTCCTGTGTTTGCGTGCTCTACCCTAGGCGTGCTTGAAATGGATGAACTTCCAACCAGTGTTTATCTGTATCACATCCTATTTAGAGAGAAAGTGTCCACTTACTGTTAATGCCAGTGTCTAATCTGGCTACAGTCCCACTAGAGAGTCCTGTATGATTTTAAGTGGATTGAGTGACTAAAATAATTATTTATTTACAGACAATCTGAGTTTTTGACAATATCACTGATTAAACAGTGTCCTGATTGGTAAGTTCAAGATTTACAAGTGATTGCAACATCCACTCTTGAGGCTAAAAGATAACTACAGCAATTGTTAGGAGTTGAATCTCAACAGAAACTGTATCCGAATTTGTATACGCCAGCTGGTTGTGGTGACTGTTATCAGGTAGCTCCTGCTGCTGCTGTTAGTTTAGTGTGTTAAACAGCAAATGCCATAACATGGATTGTGGAGCATAATGTTATTTATGCTTAAAGAAAATGGTTTTACTACAAATAGAAAGCCTGGAGAGCCTATCAAGAACATAATCAGTATGGCCCTGCATTTATTTGGGCCTTTTGCCTTTGTTAGATAGTGGAGAGCGAACAGGAAAGCCGGGAGAAAGGCTGGCAGCAGATACCCAGCAGAGGGGGTTTGGGTTGGACTCTGACCCAGGTTGCTGCATTTCAGCCTTGCAGCACCTGCTCACCCCATCAGCCCAACTGGTGCCCATCCTGCTTTTATTTTTAAATCTGGGAAAGTTCCATAAGGCCTACAAGGCCATACGATAACATGATGTGTAATTGGGAACTCTGCTGAAAGATGGTACTGGATTGTGAATGAACATCTTGAACTTTAGTGGCAAACAGGAAACAGAAACACAATTACACAAATGCTGCTCCCATCTGGAATAGCCTCTGTGGTACTAGGTAAGATATGTTCTGTCTAGTGAATTTTTGACTGGATCTATCATGGTGAAGACTCTTTTAACCTTTTGGCTGCTCTCCTTTTATATACTGAAGTAAAAAGTGACTTTATGGAAAAGCAGTTCTGCTTTGCTCTCCTACCTTTCCAGACGATCGGACTTAACTTTTTATATAGAATGAAGAAAGAACTGAAACCATCACACTCTGAATATCATTACTTTTTTTTAGTTGACCTTTGCAAGAGTGGTTTTAGATTAGTTTGTAGATTATATGGCACAAAATTAGCTAAAATCTCCACAACACATTGCATGGATAATTGTATTCTATTGTACCACTAACAGGTACTGTATGACATTTAGAATAAAGACACTACTTTTATGACTGATTTTCTATAGTGCCAGATTATGGTGTTACATTAAAGAACTATTCTCAGTGGAATTTGAAGCATTCAGCAAACTATTACATGGCCGGCTTTGTCTTGGAGCAGTGTGGGGCTAGTAGGCTTGTTGTGTATTCTGTCCTGTCCTGCCTATGATTGATTACAATCGTCTGAGGCTGACCAGCTTATTAATCAATTCAGCAAAACCACTGAGTCTCTCTGTGGATGATTTAAAGCAGAATGTTTTTTTACTTTTCCTGGGACGGCTGAAGTAGAGCCTCAGCGGTACTGATTGTAAATCATGTTCAAACACAGCAAAGCTGCTTCCAAACCGTGTATGCGATGTGGGATTTAGAGAATGCTCAGTGCTAACGACAAGCACCACCATGCCACACAGTTTTAAGGCCTCTTGCAGTTCATTTTTGTGATTAGAGATAAGGATTTACAAGTTGGCAAATTAAATTATGTTTTTGTTCTTTGGTCGTACTTGGAGACTGTTAATGCTCTGCTTTATAAATTAAATAACGTTATCAATTGATCACAGTTAAACACTGTAAAAGATTGTAATTATTCAGTTTGATGAAAGAGAAAAGACTACATTCAGTTTAGTTTTTACAACAGTTTAATCACTGGTTTCTTTTTGCGAGATCATCATATCAATGTCTGAATTCCCTATTCTTCTGTCGTTTTCCATCACACAGCTATCTGCTACCTCTACATCCCGCGCTGCTTTCTTGCATAGCCTTCGTTGGGGGATTTGGTGTCCCTTCCAGGAGCCAGCTGAGTGGAAGGGGGAAGAGATACAGCTTGTATTGCAAGGAGGTGCAAAGCCAAACCCTCATGGAGCCATGGTCTATAGCACAGAGGTGTCTGCCAAAGCTCAGAGCCCTGCACCAATCTCAGCTCCAGGCACAGCTCAGGTAATACAATGGCACAGAAGAATGCTTTTGTCGAAAGACTAAAATGTGAAGAATCCACTGAAAGGTGTTTAGACGAGGTTTTTCAGCAGCCTTCAATACTCACAACACTGCTTCCCTGAATTCAAAAGCTTTCACATCATCTACATTCGCACTTGGGTTTCATGCTAGGCCCCCGTACAGTACCGTTCAAGGTCAGGTTCTATCATCCCTGAAGGCTCTGCTCTGAAATTCTGCATGATATTTTATAGCATGGATGTAGGCAGCTGTCTGCAAGTGACATTGTTTTGGTGACGGTATCAAAAATTTCAAAGGGTGCCCAAGTCGTCCTAATATGACTTAACTTTTCACACCTTGCAGAGGATTGCAACACTGCTTGGGTGTTTGGAAATAACTGCATGTCACTATCACGTCTTCTTTCTTCTGTCAGCTTTTTCATTCGTTTCCCTGCAGAATCTGAACTCTTCATTCTGTTTTTTGTATTGTTTTTATTTTTTTTGTTGAAATGTCTGAAACTTCCTTCTCTCAAGGAGGTCTCAGAAGCAAAGGATATGATCAAATTTTGGCTGTCATCCAGCCTGGAAAGGAAGGCATCCAGCCCAAAGCCATCCCTGAGGATAAAACAGGTAGACGTGCCTCGCCAGAGAAGATCACCTTCATCACCTTCACAGGGTAAATATCATTATGTAATTCATAATGGCTTTTTAAGCACACATTAATTGGAAAGCTCATACAAAGACTTTTCCTCCACAAAAAGACATAAAAGGCTATTCACTGCTTACATCTATAATTTTTTAAAATGGAAAGAGTGTAGTCTGATTTCTGTGCATGCGTGTGTTTATAGGTTGGGTGCACTTCAATAGTGCAACGGCACCTGTTTGCAATCAGCCAAACTTTGAAGCAACAGGCATCGAACTAGCCTGTCTTGTGCACATGTTATCTCAATAGAGCCACCTGCTCTCTACGTGATCAATATACTTTATGATTGGAGTCTGGGGGGAATAAAGGATACACCTAAAGGGATTGGTGAAGACGTTGGCTGTCCATTAGGGCCTCTCTGATATTAAACCTGCATTACTTTGCAAAATCATCTTACATCTGCTCTCAGAGTGGAAATTCCATGTCCCTCAATTTTTGTTTTGTTTGTTTGTTTAGTGTTTTTTTAATTGATCTTAGTCTAGCCGCTCACCCAGGACCAGTTTGTTTTAGGAGGCCCTACAAGGAATACATTGCCCCAGACTACGCAGCTCATAAGATCATGTGGACACACAAAGCCCTTCACAAAAATAAGGTGGCAGTTCACGGACTGGGAAATTAAATTTAATAAATATAGTGACTCAAAATAACTGCTCAAATAAGTGCCCAGAGGCGTTTCAGGATGATTGCTTCTACAAGAATATTGCATATTACCAAAATATTGTTGGTGGTTTGTAATATTGTTAAAGCTGCTGAATGTGGTGAAACTGTTTAATGTTTAAACTGGAATTATTCTTTAATATTTTGCAGTAAGACACAATTCACAGTTCAAGAACAAGCTCCACAGCTATCAAGTGAAAACATATGACTGATGATTGATTTTAATGAAAGCCTGTGTTTAGACAGTGCACACTGTCTTTGTGCTTTTTCAGCAACTCAACTTCTGCAGACATTCAAAAAGTAGATGTGATGGATATCGGGGTAAAGAATATCAAAGTGGTGCTAAAAAACATATTCGTGATTCATAATAAGCAATAAGTAACGGTAAGATACTCTTACTGTGGGACTCTCTTTGTTGAGGTTTTTGTGGTAAAGCTTTGAAAAACATTTTTCCAGAAAGAACATATCAGCCATGCATATTGGCTCTTCTTTGCTTTCCGTAAGCATTACGATGAAGAGTGTAAAATTAAGTCTGAACCGTGCCCCTTATTTGTCACATTGGTAGGGGGTTATCAGTGGATGCTGTTGGATTTCTCCAGCAGAAGCTTCTTCTTCTTTTTTTTAATTTTTTAAATCTTTTCCAATTAAGCACGGATGTTCCACGATACTCTAAAAATAACTGCTGAACCCTGAGCTTTGGAGGCCTCCCACTGAAACAAAGTTCTGATTAAATATTCCACATCCTGCACGCAGCCAAAGATAAATGATGTGCCACTGCCTGCATCTCTTATTGAAACACAAACTGCTGATTTGCTCTGTGTCTGCCAGTGAATTGATTAAAAAAGTGTAGTAAACACTGCATACAGCCACTCAATCCCGGTGACAGCAGAAAAAACTTGAGTGGACCCAGGCTGTATGCTCGATGATTTACCTTCCTAATGATGCTGTTAACTTTTGAGACAAGAATGCGGTTGATCAGGGGTCTACTTCATCGGTGTGTAGAGAAAGCTTCTGGCAGTGCGCATTGTCAGTAATGACATTTTAATCAGTGTTCGCGCGTCTTCAGAGGGTTGCCCAAGAAGCTTGAATGATTTGGGCTGGTGTTCAGAGGAGAATGAGACCATGAATCACTGCCATTCTTTGATTTAGGCAACTTGATCATCCTCAACTTTGTTTTTTTTCCAAGACTGCATTTGCATGGATTTAAACATATGCCAGAAAGGATGCTTTAAACTGGAGATAGCTAATTTAAATGCACCCTCCATCTGAAATTCGCTGTTATTGATGCATTCATGTCAGAAAGAACCTGATCTCAGAAGGATTCTTTAACTCATACGGTACATGCTGACTTTGCATTACAATGTTGGAAATTCTGAAGTCTGTACGCTTTTATTAATCTATAATTTAGTCGCTTAATTCCTTGTCGTTTACGTGACCATCATGCATCGCTCCCTGTTGATACTGATGAGCTAAGAAGAAGATCAGGGAGCATATCTGGCTGGTTAGACGCAGATGTTCTTAAATTAATTTTAATGGACCGTCGTCCTTACGTAGCTGTATAACTTTACTGCTCGTAAAGGTGTCTGAATTCACCAGCCGCACATGTGGTAGTTCACTCATCTGTCGAGAAGGCCTCTGAGGGATCACAAATAAATGGCTAATTGCACATTAGTCCAGCTAATGAGGTGATACACACTCTCCGTGGGCTCGAGAAGTAAAAACAGTGAGAAAGCCCTAAAAACAAAATGGCTGCCAGAGGGGGTGGGGGTGGGGGGGCATGCCAGAGCACATTTGTGAAACAGAGCCAGCCAGTGCAGCACCATGTCCACTCTGTGTGCACGTAGTCCGAACAGATGGGAGCTACACTAAGACACCCCAGGCAAACCGAAGCAATTTCCAAAAGGCCAGTCAAGCCCAGCACGGAGAGCGAGACAGCGTGAGGGAGAGGGAGGACAAAGGGATGCTAGAGAACCTTTCATTTCAGTATTACCATGGCTACGAACCAAAAATCTCAGGAAGCATTGTCAGACTTTAAAGTCAGTGTGAAATTTAAATCCAACTCACCTCCTTATCTGTGTGAAATTGGATAGATTTGCTAGGTCTGTAAATAGTTAGGTATTCCAGTGCTCTGCGCGGTTATATACTCCACTGTGCACTGCACTGAGTAAACATTATCACAGTGTATTTTTTTATACCTCAAGATGTCAGCTCACCGCAAATCCAATCATCAGGAAAGCAATTACAAAGGTGGCATTTTGCAGTCAACTTCTATTCCCTCTCACAAGCTAATATTCCACTGAATGTCTAACCAAACTATAAAATGAACTGTGCTACCAGGTGCAGAAAGCATGTGGAAGATATTACAATGTTGTTAATTAACCTTGTTAAACAATGAACTGGAGCTGTTAGCACATTTCCAGATGAATAATGAAGACTTCAGCATGAATACGTCGTAGAAGTGGAAGGCTTTTACAGATGTGTACGTTTCTAGGTTGAATGCCTTTATCTTCTTTGTTGTGCGTTTGTTTTTCTTTTTTCTAGATCGGAAACGCATTCCACCAGCTTCTCCTCCAGAATCTCCTCAAGGCCCCGGGGTAAGACACCGTCTCACCTATTGAATTTTACAGGTGACCTATAATACTGGCCAGCCAAGAAAGCTTCTCTCTAAAGTTCCAAGTTAATACTTAAAACAAGTAAACCCTTTTTAAAGCTGTCTTTTATACTCATACTTATTTCAAAAGGAACCTGTGTCAGTAGGTCCACACAGACTCTTTTACACAAACAATTAGTCAAAAGGTCAGTCCATTACCTGCTCCAGTCATCTGTCATTTATTTACCTGCACTAATGTTTGCAGGAACTTTGCTCTGTCTCAACTCTTTACTGAGAAAAACATGTCACCCTTTAGCTGTTAACTGTACAAATTCCTCCAGCGGGAACATTTCAATTCTTTGGAAGCAGTCCTCTTGAAATTATATATTTAGAATAGCTTTAGCAGGGTCATGTTGGTTCTATGATAAAACTGGAATTTTTCATGTTGTATTCTATTATGGTGCACTGTTGAATGCTTGGAAATATTACAGCAGCAGAGGGGAGGGCACACAGGCTGTGTGGTTTACACAAACAATGGGGTTTTCTTCCTGTGACCCTGGCAATAAAAGTTTGTGTTTTATTCTGCTGTTACCTGAGTGAAGCAAAAAAAAAGCAAACGCAGTGTCTGCACTTTTTGAAAGGAACTGTTATGAATGCATTTTGGTTGAAAGCTGACCTGGATAGATTCCCGCCTGCAGAAAGCTCCTCTAGCTGCCCCTTGTACATGGACACAGCTCCCCTTACATGCTCTTTAGACAGGGATCATTAATTCTGAGAGACCCACACTTAGGTTTTGTCTGGTTTGTCGACAGAGATTGCAGGTCAGGTCTATAAATTTAAAAAGAAAAAAAAAAGTCAAGAAAAATTCATTATCTGACCCAGATCTCTCAACAACAGTGGAACTGGGAGACATAATTAAAGAAAGGCACGGGGCCTCTCGCAAACACCCCCCTCTCAATTCCCATCCTGTCACAGAGTGACACTTTGTTTGTAGTCACACTCACAGCACCCTTCATTAATGTGTAACGTATAAATACAGTGGCAGCGTTGACTTCTTTTCTCTAAGAAGAACATCACAACATGGCTTAGGTGTGCAAAGTGACGTCTGGACAAACAAAAACATTTCTAGAGAAATGTCCTTTGGACACACAAGGCCAAATGGAGATGTAGTGCACAGTGCCACATTTGGTGAAAACTAAAATTGTCATGCTAACTGTCAAGCTTGGTGGCAGAGGGGTGATGATTTGGGCAGTCCAGAGAGCTGTGCATAAACAAATACCTCCAAACCTCAATGAAAAGAAGTTCATAATAATGTGAGAGAGTCATACATAGAACGATTGCTTCAAAATAGAACAGAAAGTAACAGGACACTTAACTCAAAAATTTGAAGATGTAGAGAGCGCGCAGTCAGAATGGTACCAATCACTAGTGAATATGGTTTGTTAAAGGGTAAAATGTAAGCCACCCTCAGCATGAAAACTGCAAATGCAAAGACGAGGTGAGGTTCAAACATCAATGAACAAAGAGGACTTATATATAAATATTAAATAATGCTAAAAAATGATAGAGTTATACTTTATGTCCTCAAGAACAATTAAAATGTTAATATGTTGGAGAAAAATTAATAATAAATGTAATTATAAGCAGCGATCAATACAATGTTATTGATTAAACTGTGTTATTATGACAAATGTAGTTTAGCTTAGAGCTCAAATGAATACGTTTTACCCTTTAATAAGCATTAAGAAGTATACTCAATCGTGAGTGCCGGCATTCTGTTTGTAGCATCATCCCTCAGCCTAAGTGAGAAGTGTCAGTGGAGACTGGGAGTTGTGATGGATGGTGCTCTCTCTCAGGATGAGGCCAGTGACACAGAGCGGAGGAGGAGGAGGAGGAGAGACATCAGCTCTGTTTCAGTGTTGGCTCTCTGGGCCAAAATGAGTCTGTATTGTCGACTCATTTTAAATTGAACCAGCTGGGAGCTGTGAGATCATCGCAGCCTTGAACTCTAGAAATCGACCCTCATTTTGATTAAACAGCAAGGGCGGTGGAAACCTACAGAGGGCAGCTCCCAGAGGTTGGGAAGAGACAATTCTGGTCATACTGGGCAGTTCTTTGGGGATGACATTAAAAGATGGTTGTGCTTAAATTAATCTACCATTTTATATAGAGCTCGTGAGTCTTATCAAATCAAATTCCCAAAACATTCGGCCCCGAATTATTCTGAAAAAATAAAAATACAAAATTTGCTGACATTTCTGCATATTTCCACTGCAAATTAGGACGCTCTCATATCCTATTTTTCAAGGATTAAGGGTTAAAGTTCAACTGCATTTTCCCAAAAGGAGCAATTAACTTTGCTTCAGAGGAGGAACGCAAATCATAAGGCAGAAAAACACAGCCCAATTTTAATAAGCTGCTGATGTAAATTTTGGAGAAAAACAATCTGTGACCACAAGTGGCCATTACAGCACACTGAATTAATGGACAAACCTCATTCTAGGTTTAAAAAGATGATTTTTCATTTTTAAATGCCTTTCAATGAGTTGAAACAAAAACACTCCAAAAACAACAAGAGCAACAGCAAACATATGTCTTTAGGCTAGACAGAATACCTAAATGCAGAACTGTGAAAACAGGTAGGGTGCAGAAACAAAGAATCATCTATTTACAAGCTTAATAAGAATTCAGATTGTTTACAGAGTGTCTTTATAACAGAGGAAACCAAGAGAGCCGGGGGGAAAGGTTCAAAGTGGCAGCTTGTGGATTGACCAGAGGAGACGAGTTTAGTGAAGCCAGGAAGATTAATCTGTGGAACCAGGAGATCAGTGCAGCTCCAGAGCAGAGGTGGATAAGTGGCTGGAGTTTGGCAGCAACTGGAAATTTTTGTCTGTGGACAAAAATGAAAGTGGGTAAGAAGTTTAGCAAACAGATCGGTGCACAGGAAGGGCTTGACCTTGAATAACTGGGTAGAGGAGTCTAGGATCTGGTGATGTGGTGAAATGAGAACTGAAACAGTGTTTACGGTGTTATTTAAGTGACCTCCTGGCTGGGAGGTAGTCAAAAGTAGAGGGTATAACAGTTTGACAAAGCTAACTAGAGGCTTAAGTGTCAGATATTTTGAGATGGTGTCGACCAAAACAAATGGAAAAGTATTTTTTAAATATTATAATGATATTTTATAATATCACGCCACATAAATGAGCCTCACTCCTGACTATGTAGATAGGCAATTATTTGCCACCATATCAACCATCATTGTGGGTTTTTATTTTGTTCTTTCACCTCTGAGTGGTCAAAAAGCATAAACCAAGGCAGCTTTAAGTAAACGGTAAATATTTAGCACATTCACATACACTCCTCGGCGAATAATGGTGAAAGGCAGCAGTCATTAGTGCCTTAGATGCTCAGTAGATATCTGGTGGGCATCCAGGATCTTTCTGAAAAAAGAAGAAACAGAAAACGGCGTGTGAATCAGTGCCACTGCTGTTGGCAGCCACCCTACATTTCATCAAAACTCTGTTAGCTGTTGCAAAATTCACAAATACAGTCTATCATTCTCCCTGTCTGTTTTCCTCACTTTCTTTTAAACATGTATGGGAAAAAAGTGCTTGTTCAGTCTTATGATGATATTTTTCCCTGTTCAACAAAATTTTCCTTTTCTCTTCAACATGGCTGTCAGGTGCTGATTAATCAGTGGCATCCTTCTCTGAGATGGCTCTGTAAACAAGCTGCATGCTTTAGCTCTGTGCGCCGGCATTGTGGGATCTGACAACTTTCTCTTGCTTGCATAAATTATTGATCTTTGATACTCTCTCTTTGCCGCGGTGCAGAATGCTAAAGATCCTGTGGTATTTATAGCCAGCATTTGGAAGAGCAGCTGAGTTTGTTTGCCTCTGTTGATGATTTCTCTCATCAGGCTGCGGCCGTGTTTCAGGGTCGTGCTTGTGTTCTGTTGACCCAGGTGGTCTTGTAGTCTGGGGGCCAAAGGTGAGACCGTGTTTCAGTTTGTTGCTGGCAGTGGGCTTGTTCGACAGCAGGCACTTGCTCATTCGGACCTAACTTTTGCAGCCCTCCTTTGCAAAGTGTTGTTTGTGTCTCGTTCTTATATCAATTAAAACAATACTCAGGGTTTTGCTGCTACATTTTATTGTATGAATTTGGAAAATCTAATTATTATTGTGTACTTGAAACTCAATTTCATGCTTTGATGGAAATCACAAGTATACAGCTACTTTGTAGGTATGCCTGAACTTCAAATTGAACACCAGAAAGGGGAAGAAACGTGATTTAATTGGCTTTGACTTTGGCATGGTTGTTGGTGCCAGACACGTTAGCCCTAGTATTTCAGGAGCTGCTGATATACTGGGATTTTCCCACACAACCAGGGTTTTTAGGGTTTTTCAGAGCATGGTCCAAAAAGAGCAACTGTCCAGTGACCAGTAGCTTTCTGGGTGAAAATGACCAAATGGCTTCAATAAAGGAAGGCAACAATAGTAATACTACTACTACTACTACTACTACTACTACTACTACTACTACTACTACTACTACTAATAATAATAATAATAATAATAATAATAATAATAATAATATTAATAAGCACTTTCAAACAAAGTGCTGTACAACTATTTGAAACTAAAGAGATAAATAAAATAATAAAAGCGATACATAGCAATACAAGTAAAAAACAGTAAAAATTTAAAAACTAAAAGCCATAGAATTAAGACATGTAAGATAGGGTGAACAAATGTGTCTTCAACTTCCTCAGAGCATGCCTGCCTAATATCTTGAGGGAGGTTGTTCCACAGAAACGAAAAGAAAAAGCACGCTCTCCAATTGTCTTTTTTCGGGCTCTAGAAACCTTTAGAAGGCCAGAGTCCTGAGATCGTAGACTGTAGATTGTAAAGGTGTAAAAGGTCGGAGAGGTATGAAGGTGCCAATCCGTTTAAAGCCTTGTCGGTGAGCAGCAGGACCTTAAAATCTGCTCGAACCTGACAAGGT